CCTTTAATCTCTCAAAATTTGATGATTGGAAAGTAAGAATGCAAGCACATCTTTCGGCCATTCATGATGAAATGTGGGACGTGATAAGTGAAGACCCTATTGTCGTTATGATGGCAAACACTCAGGCAGCTGCTCAAGGAGCAGATGTAGAAGCCATGATACCTAAGCCGAAATCACAACTCTCCTCATATGAGAAGACTCGGGAAAACCTCGACAATGTTGCATGAGACATTCTCTATAAGTCTTTACACGACTCGCTGTTCCCGAGAGTACGAAAATGCACCACAACAAAGCAAATCTGGGATACTCTCATGAGTTTAGGCGAAGGAGACGAACAGGAGAAAGATAACAAGTTCACTGTAGCCATGAAAAAGTTTGAGGACTTCAAAATGATGCCAAATGAAGCCATCACCGATATGGAGCTCAGATTCACAAAACTCATGGGTGATCTCTCGGATCTTGGAAAAGAACCAACTGAAAAGGAAAAGAACTTAAAGATTCTTCGAGGGCTTCCAAAATCTTGGGACATGAATGTAACAGCCATGAGAGATCACAGAGACATGAAGACAACCAGCACGAGTAAGATCTTCAGCGATCTCAAAGCATATGAGTTCGAGCATGAGCCAAGGGAATCTAAAGAACCCGAAACAAGAAACATAGCCCTAGTTGCCAATTAACAAGCATCAACATCAAACAGGTCGAATTCTAATCCTTGTGAATTCTTATCTGACGAACAATATGATTTGTTTGTACGTGAAATGAAAAGGTTCATGAGGAAGAATAACTTCCAAGACTATCAAAGATCATCCAGCCGAAGGCAATACGAAAGATCTCTTCAATCGTCAAAACCAGAGATAATGGATTCACAGATGCTATGATATAATAACCGAAAGCCAGGACATTTCAAGGCGAACTGTCCTCATCCAATAGTCAGCAAGCATCAGGATCAAAATGCAAACAAAAGCTCACCCAAAGAAATAATCGAATCCAGCAAGCAAAGTGATAATCCAGAATCATCAACCTCTAGACACGAGAGAAGAAGAAAGGTAATGGTGGTCAATGAGCCAGCAGAGGAAGCTCAACCCGAATCAAGCACCTCAAGCTCAAGCTCAGAGAGTGATACTTCAGAAGAAGAAAAGGGTCTTCTATGCCTATTCAGTCAAGAAGAAGGAACAAATGACCTATGCCTAGTGGCTGATGATGACGAGGTAAATTCTCAAACCTCCTCTTCAAATCAAATAGAATATAGTTCAGATGGTGAAAGAAATCCAAATGTAACTGTCTTTGAGATGATGATGGATTTCAAAGTTGTAACACCCCTAAAATTTTAAACTTTGAATGCTTATGGAATAAAGGCCATACTATCATTAAATCCTAAAACAGAGCATAACTAACTTAATTGTTGGGGTGCTATGCCACATCTGAGCTGGAGAACTCAGATGCACAGACTAAACTATCTAAACATCAGAAATCCTTAGATCAATGTCAAATACATCATCATGGCACGTAGGCCGATAAGGAACTAAACTAACTAAGCCTCGAGTCCAACTAGCACGCTCCGGAGCTACGCATCTGTGCCTGAAAGCCAAATATATCTGTTCAGCGAATAATGTTGGTAACCCACTCCAACGCATTAAAATACAAGGTACAACTAAATCTCAATCCTTACTTGCCTCCTGACTTGATCAATCCCCACCCTACACTTATAGGAAAACAAGCATAACCTATTTTCTCTAATTTAAATATCAAACTGCATCATATCTAAGAACGAGGGGAGTGACCTGTGTCTAAGCTTCGGGGACGAAGCTTCTTGTAAGGGGGGGGGGGGGGGGGGGGGGAGGGTGTAACACCCCGTCTTACGGCCTCCAAATTCGGGTTAAGCATGGAATAAATTCCGTTAATATATAGTTAAAAAGGATTTAATTGGACTATAATTCCCATTAATTAATTAGTGTGGTCCACAATGGATCATGGACCCTTATCCTTAATCAAGTCTTTAATCCTGCTAGGAATAGAGAATATGGGCCTTTACTATTCAGATTCTAGTTAGGACTCCTGAATCTATATATAGGGAATTAGAAAGCATTTAGAAACCCTGCCATGATTAATTTACCACGCGAGACATTCCCCGAGCAAACCTAGCAAAGGAATTCCCCACCACCGAACCTAGGAAGATCAATTGGAAGAGGATCTTAGAGAAGAACCTTAGTAGCCAAGGATATTGATTAGGGCTAAGAAGTAACCCATGTCTTACAAAACCTATTTTCCTTGCTATTGTTTATTGGTTGGCTCCAATTGAATGATTAATTGTGTGATTTTGTATGTATATCTTGTTAGAGCTTGTCTTTAGGTTTATATGGTGAATTATTGTTATTCTTTATGGCCCTGTGTGGTTATTGGTTTGATCTTGTGTTTAATTATGTCTAGAGCTTGTCCCTAGGCTTTATATTGTGAATCTCGTGTTGTCCCTATGAAAGTAATGATTGGATACACCCCCCTAAGTGTTTAACATAACTGATTCAATTGAAAATAACTTGAAAAGACAACTTTATCCTTGTATTTGATCGCCAACTAACATAAAATCTAACGAAAGACCTTACAAGTAGACCTAACAATTCGTGTATACGGGTTCGTTAGCGGGTTAACACGATAATGACACGAATACGATAATGTTAAATCCGAACACGACACGTTAAGGTTAACGAATTCAAATTTTTAACACGAACACGATTTGTTAATAGCAAGGTTGCAAAACATTTTTTTTTTAATGTAAAAAAAAAAGTAGAAATTAAAAATTATCAAAATTCACTAATAAAACATAAGGTTCTCATCATTTTTTCTTACAAACTATATATTTAAGTGGCTATAAAGTAGTTTAAAATATTGTTGAAACTATCTAAATACATAAAAAAAATTTAAAATTAAGAGCAAAAGAAGAATTTTTTGGAGAAATTAATTAGAGGGCCAAACCGCCTTCGGTTGTTTGCAGTGTATAGATCTCGAGAAAATACGCGATTTGAAAGAAAAAATTGTCCAAAACGGACAACCGTGTCAAAAGTTATGCCTTCGCACAATTTTTAACCCTAAAAAAATTAAATAAATAAATCGCCCGGTTCAGCCGGCTAGGAGGTTTAGGTAGCCGCCTAGACTGCCTAGCTGCCCGGTCGCGGAGGAGGCCCATTCCGGCCTTCCTCGCGGCGGCCGGGCGGCGCGTATGCGCGATTTTTGCAACACTGATTAATAGGTTAAATGCGTTGACAAGATAGACACGTTTTGTTAATAGATTTTGTATTGTGTCGTCGACACGATATGACACGAAACATGTTTAAACCTGCTAAAACTATTAATATATTTGTTGAAAAAAACAAAAAATTAAAGTTAAGTTATATATATATATATACATATATATATATATAAAGAAATATAAACTACAATTCAATCCATCAAACAAACTAAAAAGAGTATTCAATTTATAACATTCATAAAATGATGAAATAACGTAAAAAAAAAAAATAAAAAATAAACATAATTAAAGAAGTCCATACTAGTTTTTATTATAAAATTGAACACAATAAAAATTTATATTTCAGATTGTTGAACATCAATAACTGATGAAGAATCTTGGCCTATAATGTAGCAAATTCATCCTGGGTCATTTTCATTATATCTTTTGTAATCTCATCCATGACAATGGTTCTTACCTAAATGACAATGGTTCTTAGCAGGTTATAAACATGTTTTTGTAAACAGGTTCGTGTAAATGAGCTAACATGATAATATTAACAGGTTAAACATGTTCTTAATAGGTTAACGGGTTGACCCGTTAAGACACGAAACATAACGGGTCAACTCGTTAACAACACGGGACACGTTAAAGCTAAACACTAACCTATTACTTTCGTGTCGTGTTAACGGGTTGTGTCCATAATTGTCAGATCTACTTACAAGGTAACTTTTTAATAGTTAGAGGTGAGCTTTCCTATCATATATATATATATATATATATATATATATATATATATAGTAGAGTTCCAATAGTCTAGATTAGATGGGAACTGATTGATTTAAACAACAAATTGAACCATTATATTGGTTTTATTCGATCATTCATTTTTCTTTACGCAATAAGTTTTTTACACTTGGCAGGAGTTATACTTCATGAAAATACATATAAAAAATGCCCCTCTATAATATGACAATTATCAATGTCACTCCTGAATTATGAGTGGTGTAAATGTTGCCCCTCAATTATCAAAATGGTGCACATATAGCCCCTCCTGTAATGGATATGTGGTTCCCCGTTAGTGTACGACACCGTTAAGTCGGAGTAAATATGTAATTTAATTGTTTTTTCCCTCCCTCGATTCGAAGTACCGGCGCTGGACAGCAGTGGGGAACCACAGGTCCGTTACGGGAGGGGCCATATGTGCACCATTTTGATAATTGAGGGGCAACATTTACACCACTCATAATTCAGGGGTGACATTGATAATTGACATATTATAGAGGGACATTTTTTACAATTTTCCCTAAGTCTATTGTGAGATGTGGGCAAATTAAAATGTTTGCATTATTGTATCATAAGGTCAAATAAGTTGTAATTGTAAGTGTACAAATGATACACATTAAAACCCTTTTATGTTAACTAATTTAATTGTCAAAATAATTAGGAGTTGTGTTAAATTATATTATGGACCGTGGACCGTCTCCGTGTAAGGTTTCTACAAGGTAAGTTTATTTGATTATGGCGTGGACTAATCATATTGAAGAAGTTAAATAAGTCTTTAAAGACTTTTTCAAGGCTGTAAAATATGCATGGCGTGAGGTGTTAAAATGAGATGTGGTTGGTATTGATTGGAAATCTAAATGAAGGTTGTGAATGAATGCTTGCGTGAGATAAGGAATAATTGTGGAAAGTTGGTAGCTTTGGAATGCTACTTAAGGAATTAGTTTCTTCATGCAGAACGGACGAATTGGCAGTACAGGAACAATAATGAGAGGAGAAGGCATTCTTTTATTACATCTATATTAAAGAATATTATATTATCATCAGGCTAATTTCCCTTGAAGTGATCATTCGGCATGCACGTACCTCTCCGGCAACGGATGTTGGGAAGATTATGTATTCAACCCTCTTTGTAATTTTGGTGAACATCTAGTGGATTGGGCTGACGTGAGTTGCCCCGCAGACGTAGGAGAAGTGTTCCGAACTGCGTGATCAATATCTGGTTCCTGGTGTTTGTTTTTCTTACTTTAATTTATGTTTTCGTTTATTCGTAAATCAACATAATTAAGGGTATGTTAATATCTTAATTAAAAGTAAGTAGAATTCCAGGTGTTAACTTGCATTCAAGACCCACGTAACAATTTCAGTAATGAAGAGTAACTACTAATGTTTTGTGGTCTAAAATTAGGATTTTAATGATATATTTTATGTTTTTGTTGAAAATAAGGTTTCTATGAAACTGGAGAAAACATTGATAGGATTAAAGACTAAATTGGAAGAAGGGTATTCATGGACTTTACTCCGTCAGTTAGATCATCAGCACGGTGTGTACCTAGATGAAGATTATCAAAGAACAATTTGTCACTCCAAGCTCGCTGTTGCCTGGAGATTAATGGAGGATTCTTTCGGACAAATCTTTGATAGCTACACAAAAATTAACGTTATCAAAAACGTCATTTACAACTGTGGGTATGTACTAGCTAGACACTATAGAAATTTCTATAACATCATGAATCTAAAGTTAGAAACTAAATTTCATTTTTGAATTTTGACATTATATTGACATATATACAGTGATAGACACCTTCTGTTTCATCATTTAAACTTTTGCAGTTCAAATTTCAATAGAATTGACTTCAAAGTCGGCTTCTACACCGCTGTCTTGGAAACAAATGGGGAAATAGTTTGTGTTGCAGCTCTAAGGTAATAATCATCAAACATATATGGTATATATTTGTTATATATGTGCCAATTTGGTTCATAGTATATCGCATATGCTCTTCTTTGGTTTAAGGGAATGCGAAGTTTCTTTACACAATGCGAAATTCTTATCATATAAATGAGAATCTCATTCCCCCGCCTCCCCTTCAATTCTTTAGGAGTGTTTGCATCAAACTATGTTATACCACATAATTCAAATATTGAAGCTTCTATGTATATAATGTTGTTTTAATTTACAGGATATATCCATGACAAAATGATTGCTGAAAGGCCTTTCATTGCTTCCCATTTTGCTCATAGATGTAAAGGGATGTGTAGAAAGCTTATGATTGCTATTGAATCTGTAAGTTATTTAATTTATCTTTAAAATTATATTTTTATAGTAATATACTTTTAATTTCCTTTCCTCTCTTAAATTAAGTCGTCATACACGCATATTGCACGTGCTCCCATATTACCAAACTAACACCTTTATTCCTCTATATTAATGTTTTTTTAAAAAATAATAATAATTTGATTTGCCAACATATATGACATGCTTAACGGTGATATATTTATTTTGCATGTGCTTTGCTACCTCAATATAGAGAAACTAATCATTCCATATGCATAAGAAAAGACAGAAAGTTGGAAGAAAAAGTATGGATTTAGTGTATTGGATGATGAAACAATGAAACATCTAATAAACTACAATCCATTGATGTTCCATGACGCTGTTAGACTGCAAAAGATCATCCTTCCTTGCAACAAATGACCGAATTAAACATTACGCTACTACTGCTGCTTTGATGCCGGTTTCACGGCTGCAGCGGCTAAGGCAGCGTATGGGGCGAGTTTATTTGACCGGCATGGGGTGTTTGTGGCAGCAACGTAACTAATGGACCATTGGATTGTGTTTATAATTCTCTTCTGGCACGATAAGGAAGCACTTTCCTGGATCAAAGCGTGAGGTTTAGAGGTGATGGTACGGATGGTTTCTGATTGTCTTAATTTAGTTCGTGGTAGCTTTAAAAGGTGATCGTATTGATAAAACTTATGTTGGCTCTGTTATTCATTCTTGTCTTTCTTTACATAGTTCTTTTGTTTCTTTAGAGTTTTATCATATTAGTCATTTTGTGAATCCGGTTGCCCATGCTTTGGCAAAGGTAGTTAGTGATCAGTATTCATGGTTGCAGTATGCGCTAGGCGCTAGTCGGGCGCCCGGACAATACCTAGGCGGAATCTAGGCGGCGCGCGCCAAAAAAATAATAAGAGATTTTTCAGTTTGACAATTTTAATGAGGCTGTTGTTACAGAAATTATGAATCTACAGTACAGAAATTATGAATCTACAGTATAGAAATTATGAATCTACATTACAGAAATTATGTATCTACAATATAGATATGAATCTACAATATAGAAATTATGAATCTACAGCTTAGAAATTATGGATCTATTGGTTAACAACAAATGAAAAACAAAATTATGAATCTACGTTTTCAAAGAAAAAAAAATTATGATATGAATCTACAGTATAGAAATTATGAATCTACCCCTATGTTTCACCATGCGCATGGTGAACACGTTTCCAGGCATAACTATCCTTCAACACAAGGCCAGGCCTGCGGCTTGAAAAAAATTAATTTGTATATATTGTTTGGTGGTAGGGAATTTAATAATTTAAAAATATTCTTAAAAGTTCAGCCACGCTGGGTGTACACGAGTTCAAACTTTTCTAAGCTCATTTTAAGATTTGATTTGCACTCCCCTCTCTCTCATTATGTAATAAAAGATGTCATGTTTTGTCTTAAATCAATTAGAATATGTTATATCATAAGAATAATAAGTCTAATATATACATGTGTTCTTAAGATTTCTCTAGTTTATATGATTGTCTTGTATTCCCATGTATGTTCAACTCTTTTTCAGTAATTGAAACAAAAATAAACAAATGGAGAACATATGAAGAAAAATGTTTTCACAAAAGTTGTATCTTAATACAACAAAGGAGTAAAGCTAATCGCCAAGGACCTTGTAGTCTAGTGACACCAAGTTACTCCTTTATAGGGGAGGTTGTGGGTTTGAGCTTTAGTGGAGGCGGTAAATAGGTTTTACTAGTAAATCACTTGTGCGATGCACGGATAAATTTTTTTTATATATTTAAAGAAGAGTTAATGCCACATGGGGTCCCCGAGTATAGTGGTTTTGCCACGTTTAGTTATAAACTTTCAATTTGACCATCCGTGGTCCTTCGACTTTCAAATGGTTATTAACTTGGACCACGGATGGTTAAATTTGAAAGTCGAAGGACCACAGATGGTCAATTTGAAAGTTTAGGAATAAACGTGACAAAACCACTATACTCGGAGGACCTTAGATGGTATTACCTCATTTCAATAATAAAATTGATGATGAAATTATAAAGAATTTTAATATTTGAAAGTGTACACTTATTTGAAATTATAAGATTTGTATATTTGTGTTCCCGCAATTGATATATTAGGAAAAGTCTAAATAAAAAATAGAAGAAAGAGCATGGCTAATTGATATTATATATTTTAAGTAACAAAAATATACAATAATTAAATAAAGGGAATCTCTATGTTAAATTACCATAGTAAGATTAAAGTGTTAAATATTTTTTCAAAAAAAAAAAGGTGTTAAATATACGTTGGAAAAATGGACGTAATACGTGTATATTTAATTTCTTTAATTATGGACATAATATGTGTATGTTTATTTTCCTTTAATTACCCATCGTAATATGTGTATGTTTAATTTCCGGCAAATTATATCCGGCAAATTATATCATGCACCGCGGTGCATAATTGATTAGTTTAATGAAAAGAAACGGCATCTGTTTCTCGCCGTTCCACACCCTTCCGCAAAAAGTAACTCTTTTATTCAGTTTCATTTTGTATACACTGCAATTTCGGTTCAACACAACTACAGTTTCATTTCGATATAACTACAGTTTCATTCGATATTTATAGACTCAAATATGTGAAAATGTTATTTAATTTTATTTTATATAGACTATAGTTTTATTAAAACACAACTACATGATTATTTTTATATAATTACAGCTTCATTGTACAATATACACTCAAATATGTGAAATGTAATTCAGTTTCATTTTATATATACACTGCAGTTTCATTTCAACACAACTACAGTATCATTTTGATATAACTTTAGTTTCATTAGATAATATAAAAATAATACGTGAGACAATGTCGGTTTAGATATACTGTAGTGTCAGTTGGTAATTAACATATACAAAATGCACGCTCCGTTAAAACTAACGGCGCACCTTTTTTTACATAAAGAAACGATGCTGTTTTGGGCACCGCGGTCGACGATATAACGACTGTTAATTTCCTATATGGGTATGAAAATTTATCATTAAGTCCAATAAAAATGAGGTCATTTTATTATGATTACTATAGGGTAATTAAGGAGTATATATTATTCTTAATTAATATTATTTTAATTATGATGTCCATGTAATCTTAATAATTATGGTAATTAAGGACTATATATATTATTCTTAATAAAATAATGTGTATGTTTAATTTCGTTTAATTATTGACGTAATATGTGTATGTTTAATTTCTTTTAAGAGTTAATAACCTATTTGGTCCTCTGACTATTGCGAAACTATCGATTTGGTTCTCGACTATCATCCTTACCAAATTTAGTCCTCAACTTTAAAATTTCTACTCGATTTCGTCCTCCGAATCTTTGACCGTGAAGCCACCGTCTAAATTAAGGACAATAATGTAAATACTCATGTCATCTTTGTTGGTCTCTTCTCCAACACTGGCCTCTTGTCTATGGCGTCGGCGGTCCCCAAGGCGACAAAATCTGCCAGCTTCGACTTGTGGGCGACGAGGATTTCAGATGGGATAATACATGGATCATCATCCCAAAAGCATCCTTAAGACCGTGGTCGAGGTTCTGGGGCTGCAAGACGTGAAGGCAGAAGAGGAAATAGAGATGAAGTCGCTGTCGGATTTGGCCGCCGGTCTAATTCAATAGCCACTGCCCCCAAATTCTACGGTTTGCAGAAAAATAAACCAGGCAACAAATCCAAGGGTTTGCTGAGCTGAATCACAAAAACGATACTTGAATCGTGAAACATAAAGACGGAATTGCAAGCAATCGATAGAAATGGGTCACCTTCGATGGTTCATCTGGATCCAGAGAACTGAGCGTGACTGCGTGACGGCTGAGCGGCGATTTGAGGGCGTGGCAACGAGAGGCTGGCGGCGATGGAATCTTCTTCTTCCATTTACTTTATATATGCTTTCCAAATTGGGTTGGAAACCCCCTTAATTTAACAGTATTTTTGCATTCCTAAAACGATTTTAACTCAATTTCGATTTTTGTTAGCATTGATATTTGAAGATCTATAGTTGATGACGAAGGAATTCAATGTCCAGTTGGTAGTTTTCTGGCAAGGTGGGAACACGGGAACACAGCAATGCCCTCCTCAATCGGTAGTGCCGTTTTAGCCACTCAAGTCATCCAGCCCTAGCATCCCCTTTATATCCTTCAATGTGGGTTCCGCCGCCGCCTCATCATCTTTTGATTTACTCTCATTACCAAAATTGTGGGAAAATAAATATAAGTTCATCAAAATTTCATTGTTATTGAACAGATCATTTGAAGTGCTGTCAAGGGTTGGAAGAAAGAGAATTTGATCTAAACATGGTTTCTCATGCTCTTTACTGTGACCAGAATTGCATAGAGTTGAGCTTTCTTATATATATATATATATATATATATATATATATATATATATATATATATAGAGGCGGGTTCAGGTGCGGCAGTGTCTTACGGTGCGGCAACACCAATAGTTAAACAAATATGCACCATCAACGTAGGGAAAATACACCACACAAAACAGAGTAAACAGAGCCCTGCATCACCAAACACACACCATTAGGTGTGAGTAAAAACACCATACACTGTTCGGAAATACACCAT